CCTGACGAGTTTAAAAAATGGACTACCCAACCAACAATCTTAAAGAAAAAAAATCATGCAATAATCTAGAAACCACCGAAAACGTGTCAACATCGCAAACCACACGCACACACACAGAGATAAAAACAGGAGGCACATTGCTGTAGTTTGTACACAACATGTGCTCACATGAACAATACGTAACTTTCTTCTCACCGACAGTAATGACAACAAGGCAGAATCTACAACACGGGTCTCAGGCAAGCCCCGGCGATCCAAGATGGCGGCGTATTCAAATGAATGGTTTGTGCTCAATGGCGCATTGGGCCAGCATGGGCCGAAAGATTATCCCATGGGAACGGGAACTCGCCTGTATTTGGGCATCGTCTGGTCCTCCCGGTTCTGCTCAATGGATGACCTCCCATCATGCGTTGGGCGAAATACGCGTGTGTGGCTCTCATGCACTTTCACAGAGGGGCTCGGCCGCGCTCTGACCAATCAGAACTGCTCATCAGAGCGGGAGTTAGAGCTAAATCCGACCTTTATGAAAGCTGTAGGTTCTCTGTCAGCTGAAGTCGAGCTGTTTTAGTTTACATTGAGTTCTATGGGGAAAATTTCTGGGTAGCCCATGTGAATTTAGTCTGGTTTAGTCTGCAGGACCGCGAGAATCCCCCGAGCACATGAGTTCTTCAGTTCTAAGCTAGCAATACCCTATCCAGTTATTATAATAGATCCATGGTCTCAGGATGTTCTAACCCGCTCAGAGTCCAACAGCTTGAGTTTGAATGTTCTGTTTTCTTACCTGGTGATTTGGACACAGCACCTGGTGAAAGCTAAAAAAAAATCTGAGCTTTTAGCCGCAGTTTTGCGGCGGCTGTGTCTCATGTCCAAGGCAATGTCTTGGCCTCCTTTGGTCAGCGTGGTTTTAAGCTCCCACAGACGTCTCATTCCTACACGCATCTCTTCTCTTCACACCGCGTTTGTAAAACCCATTAGAGGTTCTGTGCAGCCCACGGGTGCTGCTTCAGAACGCGGACTGTTTACATGTCCGTGTCAAGTGACCTAGACGTATATGGAGAGATCGGGTCATTTATCAAAATAAAGGATTTTTTCCATGCCGGCCAGGTTTGAATGACCGGGAGTTGGGGACCACTGTCAAAGACAACATATTGTCCATCGAAGGCTTCCATAGTACCTTAGACTGTGATATATGATCTCAGTAAAAACTACACAGTGTACTTTTAAGCACTGATACATTTGGCCAATGAATTACAGGAAACACTACTTACTACTGCCCATTGACTTCTGTTTAATGGTTAAGCTATTATTATGAGTCCTAAACGGAGGGACTAAATACCACTACGGAACTCATTAGAAATGGAAAAAGGTATCACTAAATTGAACTTAGTAGGCTGAAGGACCCCCTTTTATGTGGGGCCAAAAATAGATTGATTTTCAATGCGACATGAAACAGACCATGAAAAATATTGTCATTACTCAGACATGAAGGAAATGGTACTATAACCCAACAGGGGGTCAGCCATATTGGATCAAACCGGGGGATTAAAATGTATAGAACTGGGTCAGGACCGACAAAACCCATGTGGGTTCAAACATTGTAATAGAATAACTCCAAAAACTTGAGTCATTTATGTGATTTTGAAGATGACTGGAATGGACTCAAAAGCATATGGACTGGGACTCGACTTTTTTCCCATTTTATGTGACTCAATTTCCCCCTAAAGAAACAGCAAATCCTTATTGCAGCATTTCTCTCTCTATTAAAAGCCCGCTTTCCGTGAACGATATGATAATCCTCCATTTCAAATGTAAATACAAACACTCTTTTATCCTCTAGATTAAAAGCTTTGGTATAAGATGTTTCAAATATAGCAATGGCTCAAAGTGTGTCTTGTTCTATCATTAACGGCAAGCCTATTCAATGTTAGCATTATGAATCACATACAAATTAAACTGGCTTGTATTCATTATTCTGGAGAAAGTGTGAGAGGAGTTAACTTACAAACTGTAACATTGATTGATAATTTCATATACAGTATAAACCACACCTGGACCATACATAGATAGATTTTCTAATCTGCTGTTACTTAATAAAAAATTGTTTTGAAGCCCTTCCAGTTGTAATTACAGACAGTCCAATAGTACATGGATTTGATGGGATATTGATTATTAGTTTTGGCTTCAGGTTGAGGCCTGTTAATAAAGGTACTCCCATTTTGGCGCCACCTACCTGTGAAAGCCATTATTATTATGATAATTATTACAATCTTGTCACAGTAGCACTAGCTAGTCAGCACTACCATTGTTGAAAAGTTGACACTTTTACTGTTCTCATATGGTTTGATTTATAGCTGTAATTAACAATTATTTGATCATCTCTGTGGGCCTCAGTGTCGGCATCATGAGGCCTTCTATTCTGAGGCTGCTGAAGGTGTTTTAATCCTGTAAAACCCTCACAACACACGGTGCCTGTGAACCGGCTCCCCTCAGGACAATGACGACAGCAGCTGTGGCCTGATGCATTAAAGCTGGAGTACCTAACTTTTTTGGATATATAAATAAATGTTTTCATCCCATAAGAAAGAGTCTTGTAAAAGTACATTTTAGTGAACAAATAAAACCACAACATGATGTCTTTATCTTATTAGAAAACATTTGATGTTTTACGTACTGAGAACTGATTACCTGAGTGAGGGTGGCGCTCTCTTCGTCACTTTTCTGTCTGATAATGTGATCATCTTAAGACTTGACCAAGAAATACAGTACATGGATATGTACTTTGACAGATTTGATTGAGAGTTTTTTTTCTTTGTGATTCTCAATGTCACAATAACAACTAAAATGTTCATACCGTGACGAACCCCAATAGCTACTGTAAGTTTCAGTAGCTAATGGGAATCTAAATAAAAACCAACCCTGTATAGGTTGCTGGTGCAATATGTGTACCGGGTGCAGCTCTGACTGCAATCCCCCCCGACCCAGAAATGCATTAAGAGGAAGAAAATGGTTGGATGGATGGATGGAATGCCTATATAGAGATGACTTGCTATGCATTGGGTTGTACTCACATCATTCATTCATTATATTCTGCTGTAGCTATAGAATTATATAACCTTATCTCAGAATGTAAGGTTAAAATAATGATAAATAGATTACTAAATTGGTTTACAACTATTTTGATAATTGATTAATAATCAACTTGTTTCCCGAGTTTGATAACTTAAATACATAAAATTGATGCAATTACTGAAATGTCATTGGAAAGGTTGGATTGAATTTTGATGATAAACAAACACATTCAAATGCAGTGTTTTTCTCCCTGGCAGTACATGAGCAATCCCCATTAGTGGCGTGTTATAACTGTCCGCTGTGATCCTGTGTCTATGAAGCTGCATGTGACATTCTGTCTCTGCCATCTCCATGTGTCTCTGTGTGTGTGCGCTTTGTCGCTAGGAGGCTGGGCACCGCATCGGCGTGTGTGTATTTTTTCACCAGCGAATGAGGGAATATTAGGGGGGTATCATGTGACCATGTGATGTCAGAGGGGGAGAGGGATGAGGATAAAGAGAAACAGACAGACAGAAAGCAAAAGGAGAGCAAGGTGCAATTTGGAGGCACAGCTGATCGGCGCTCACAAGGAGACTGGAGCTAACATGCGCACACTCCGTCACTTAGTTATTCATTCCTCCCTTCTGCATATGCACTTTCTACGCCATTAAAGCTGGGACTTTGGAGAGGAAAAGGTGGCATCTGCTTTGTGCAACAATTTAGGAGAATTTTGTTGTTCTTGTTTTGCACTTGGAGTAAAAGCAGAAAACTGAAGAGAGAAGATTTGGAAAAGATTTCAAACTGGAAAAGTGCTTTGTCCTGCAATCATTTTAATGCCAACTCTCTGGGAGTACAGGAGAAAAGTGGAAATTGATGGACAAACTACATTTTGATTCTGCTTTTCCGAACTATTTGGAAACACTATTCTCTACCACCATCTGGGAGAATGAGTAACATTACTGCAATATAATCAAAATATCACCTTTGTGCAACTGTTGGGATTGTGAATACATTTTTCTATCTGGCCAAAACAAATATTCAATCAGATAATGTCTTTCCTTTCTGGCACCCCATGGCAGCAGCAGTCTGGCATCTTAGGCAGCAACAACGGCGGCTACATGCAACCCTCCAGTGGGCAGCAACAAAAACAAAACAACTCGCCTGCCACCAATGCCCCTAATGTTATCACATCCACTGCCCTCAATCGCAGCGACTGGCACTGCTCTGGACAAGGCACACAAGGCATCCAGGAGGTTTCTAAAACGGGCTGGATGGGGGAAGAAGTCACATTTGGGAGAGCGGACAGAAATGAGGGGAGTTTGAGTATAGGCTCACAGGGTAGCACCGGACAGAGCCCTAGTACCCCATTGTCTTCTTCCCCCTCCTCTCCATTGTTATCGCTTGAAAAGGACTTGGCAAATACACCATTAGAATCCAAGCAATCAGGATCTTTCTTTGAACACAAGAACGTGGATAAGAAATGTAACCCAGCTGCTTGTCAAGACGGCAAAGACACATTTGAGTCATCTGCTGCGCTCCGTGGACGTAAAAGCCAAGAAAATCAAGAATTGCAACCTGTTGTCAGCAGCGCTAGTGTTGAGAATAAGACATCTGGGGATCTACTTTGCAATCAGAATGCTGCAATTACAGGTCTAAGTGAAAGTCAAAGCAAGCCATCCTTTGACAAGTGTAATCATGTCTTTAATGTTAGTCCAACTGTGCAGCAAACGGGAAGTAAATCTAGTTTGGGGTCTCTTGGTTTGTCTTCAAATGCAGAGGATGATCGTAATAAAGAGTGTAATGTATTTCCTAAGCCGCAATCTGCCGTTAATCCCTCAAGTTCAAGCCCAAAGGATTCAAACGCTGACGACAAAGTACTTGGATCTTACCCAGCATTGAATAAAGACGCTAAAATCTCTCAGCAGCCACAGCGGTCTGTGGTGCGACGAGCCATGTCCGACTGCTCGCACCTCGCGGTTCCGATGTTGATGACGGGCCCCTACCCAACCGCCATGGGGGGTTCTCCGGGCATGGTGGCGCCAAACGTGCCGAACTTTGCCCTGATGGGAACGGCGTGTCCTCCCAGGCCGCCGTACGGTCACCCAGCAGTGAGGAGAGCGTTCACTGTGACGAACGGGACGGAGGCCGCTGCGGCAATGTTGATGGCCGCGCCCCTCACACCTGTCGTGCCTTCTTCTCCGCCCCCCAAAAGGCATCATGGGAGCACAGAGACAAACCTGCTACTGCCGGTGCCAGCCTCGGTCAGCAGCAGCAACCACAGGAAGCCAGATGTGACAGGTACTAACAGGGCCGTTAGAAATTGATTTTATTTAATCGAGACAATTTACTTTTTTTATATTGGTTTTTTTAGAGATTTTATTTTTTTGATACATTATTTATTGATATTTTGTACTAGTCAAATACCTACACATTGCAAACAGAAGCATGAGGCTGAAAATATTTAATACTTAATATATAATAAACAATCAATATTCATTTAATAAAATATGAATGCGCCAATAATGTCATATTTTCGTTCAAATGGGGCGAAGCACAAGATAAACTGAATCCTAGGTGTGTATCAAAATGTCCCATATCTTCTACTAATACAGGTTTTAAAAGGGGTTGGATGAAGCAGATGCCTTTTCCCCCTCCCACCTAAACGATACCCAGCCCTTATAGTGTTGCGCATGTGTCTGATGCATGTTTACTGTATAATCACTAATATATTTATTTTTTACAGCTCAAAGACAACCTGATAAAGTTAACCCATGCTCTTGAATTCCACACTGAAAATGTCCTTATTTATTTGTGCGTGCCCTTATTGCGCTAGTTCACAATTATATAACAAAGTAAGAACTCTGGGCTTGTTAAAGAGGATTCATAGCAGTGCAGGGTGTAAATGCAATGGCAAAACAAATACAAAACAACAATTTGGCACAAAACGCAGACTGACAATTAGCGGTTTTTACTTAAAAGTGAAGATATGTTGTTACCGAAGATGCAAATGTATCTTACTTGTGTTGAAATGTGGTATAAATTCATTGCATTCATTATTCTGATTATCCGCTTTGCATAATTCACAGCTTTAAGTCATTTCAATGTTTCAAGAAATGGCTTTTTTTTTCTAAACCAGGATAATCTCACTATGTAACACATTTGGATCATAGCTCGTGTAATCCTTGTTTCATCAATGACACATCGTTTATGATGGTTTAAAAGTGATGTTAGAGGCAGGGGTAGTTTGAAGAGCACTTTGAGTTGTGTTTGTAGTAAGACAAATGGCCATCTGTCAGTGCGGCGCTGGTGACCTCTACCAAAGCTTCTACCTTTTAATGAGGGAAGCAGCTCGATGAACCCTAGATGTCCTCTTCCTGTGAATATTAAGTTCAGGTCTATTAGGTTATGTAACGTAATGCCTGGAATCTTACACTATTGCTGTAGCACATATGTGACTCAGGACATTTCCACATTATGTAATTCCTAATCCGGAAATTCATTACTTCTCACTGTGTATCTTCAGCTGTTGTCTGCGTGATTTGTGAGCACCAAGATCCATTTGTACAGATGTGTCTGAGCACGTGTCCTGTATTTCTGTTGTTGGTCATATTTAGAATGATGTATTTGTTGATGTTTGTTTGGATGGATGGAGGTGTTTGTGCTGCTATAGACACCTGAATGAGGATTAGTAAAGTATCTATACATTTAAAGTATTGTAGAGGACTGAGTCTGGGCAATATTGCATGCTTTACAGTCAAATACAGGCTGGCTACACTTATTTTGACATGTATATATCAAATCAAAATCCAGTATCTATGAGGCAGATGAAATAATGTAATAATATTAACATCAGAAAATATGTTAAACCAGGTTAAAGGCAGGTCTTGCTTCATTTTGCTTTTCTTACATTTCACATGTTGAAATACAAAATTGATAAAAACAAGGAAAGCAATGCCTGCTGTAGTCTATTGCCTTGAAGTGTTTGACTCGCCTTTGCATTTGGATTCATAATGATGTAGAAATAGTCTATACCCATGCTTACTTGACCTGAACAGAAAACGGCAAACAACAGTATTATTAGAACAAAAACTTGCAGATAGTTTTAGGGAGTCTTGGTTAGATAAGTATGTATGGTAAGAAGTCATGGGCAGCGGATGTGTTTTTCTTGATGTTTTATCAAAGCGGAGCGTTGGTCAGACTCATTTAAGTGATGGCTGTCTGGGGTTAATGGTTTCTCCCAGTCTCTGATCTCATGGCTGACCGGCCCTTTAATTTGGTTAACCTTGCCTTGATTGGCTCCAGGTGAACTTTGAATGTGGATAAAAAGCGCTTATTTATTTGATTTTTCTCTTAAGCGCAAGAGATAATTCAAGAAATGGGCTGCAATGGTTTGGCAGCATGACGGGTGAGTCCACGTGAGAGAAATGAATGCCAAAAAATGATTACTCCATAAACAATGAAATGCTTTGTTGCAATTGAGTTTAAAATAACTTAACAAAACTTATTCAATCTCATATTATCACCTACAATTTTTGTCATACACTCAGGTGTATGACAAAATATACTACTTTTCCCCCATACTACCTCATACTACTTTTCCCCCAAACATCTACTTTTAAACATAAAATTACAATCACAAGTCAAATCATAGTACATTGTAGCAGTCAGTATTTGCAATCTGGAAGTCTCCTCTTCACTAAATATACTAATGATAAATATTCCTTTGAGGACAATGTGTTCTGATGGAGCCTGTTGCATCATCACCACAAACCTGTTAAAACCTATTGAAGGACATTATATCAATTGTAGCTGCACAATGCACACTAATGAGGTCAGAGAGGGCTGCACTGAGCCAATCAAAAGGGGTAAATGTGTTTTTCTCAGGTGTTACCGCGTTTGCTCTTACGATGTCGAGAAAAAAATTAATAATACAAATATGTCTATATTTTTTGTCAGACATTTCAGAAGTAAAGGTTTGAAATAGTTTACTGTGTGTGTAATTAAATCTGAAATAACAGATAGTTATATATATATATGTATATGTACTGTATGTATATAATATTACGGACGATGCAATAACATATTAATTACATTAGATTATTTCAGTTCAATGTATAATTCAAAATGCCTAAATCACAAGAGCAGCCATCTCGGAGGAAGGAGGCCAAAAACTGACAAAATGAACAATTAGAACATGCAAATGCAATAATAAAAAACCTGTATAAGCATTTTCTGACAAATTGACAAATGACGATTGGTTAGTTGGTGTTTTTCAACCAGTGTGCCCTGGCATCCGGTCTGTTGGAACTCATCAGCGTCTGAATGAGGACATGGCAAATCTAGGACAAAGTAAGCAAAATAACCAAAACTAAATCTGGGGCAGTGGCATCCGACCAAATCAAGATGACAGACAAAGATGTGTGTGACTAGATGTGTTTTTTTTTTTTTTTTTTTTTGCAGGAAGTTTCTTTCTCTATAGTGATCATTCCATTCATCAACCTCATGTTTTTTTCCTGGTGCAGTTGGCCAAGGCATTGATTAGCGATTGGCTGTTCTTGTTCTAATATAGAGCAGCTATTTCGGTCGCAGTGTCTGTGACAGCGTTTGCCTTGTGTCTTTCGATGCACCAAGCCGCCAGTGTTGTGAATTATTTTTAAACATACTCGTCTTACACGACTCTGCACAGCCAGGTAACAGCTGGGGTGAATGGAAATAGACTCATGGATGCGCACAGAGCTCACAGCAGTGGGACGCAGGAGCAAATAAAAATAATAATACTCCAACAGGTACAAGAGAGCATCAACTATGCGAAAAAAAAAAACTATATTTGAATGATTGATGATGACTTAAAGGTGCTCTGTGTAAGTTTGCCACCTCCATGGGGATGTTATGGCATGTAATAATGTAATCATTCAACAAATAACGGGTGACTGCACTGCTTAAAGTAAAATGAAAGTGTACATTTTTCATACATTTGCAGCAGTCCAAGCTTTTTTCTCAGTTTCTCAGCTATTTCAAACGTTGTTAACTCCAAGAATAAAACGCTCTTGCTGTAATTAGTGGCATTAATTGGGCGGCACGGTGGCTGAGTGGATAACACTCTCGCCTCTCAGCAAGAAAGTCCTGAGTTCAAATCCTGGTCGGTACTGGGTCTTTCTGAGTGGAGTTTGCATGTTCTCCCCGTGCTTGCGTAGGTTTCCCCTACCACTAAAAACATGCACACTAGGTAAAATCCTCCAGCTCCGGTAGTCCTGGCCAAGCCGAGCATCTGGAGATGGGTTCCTGGGCGCTGTTACTACAGCAACCACTGCTCCTGACGGAAGCCCTAGTGGCATCAGGATGGGTCAAATGCAGAGGATGAATTGCCCTACGGGGATCAATAAAGTGCACCTTTATTATGCAAGTTACATCCCCTTTACATGAAGACCTTTAACAAATATAGAAAATACCAGGTTCTGTGTAAGTGCGAGTTTCAGCAAATTCCTTTAGTAATAACATTAGTTTTAAAGCATAATTCGCAACATTCTAAAGAGATTGACATTGTGATGGACAAGTGTCAAAAATCATACCGTGTTTGTTAATTTCTTCGTAATTCCTGGGTCAGTCCACATAAAACATAAATATATATTTTTCAGTGCATAGTGAACTATGGTAAAATTGTTTTCTCATAAATGTGTCTAGAAGTGATGGCAATATTCCAAAATAACAGAATATTGTTGACAGAATAAAAATTGTTGCAGTAAGGAATGAGGCGCACGCAGCACAAGATAAATGAATATTAACTCTATACTAAAATAAACTAATATCTCTAATTCTAGCATAAAAAGAAGCCATATAAAATCTCTATCCATCCATCTATCTTCTTCCACTTCATCCATTGCCGGGTCGCGGGGTCAGCAGTCTGAGCAGAGACACCCAGACTTCCCTGTCCACACATGGCACCTGAAATAGAATTCTCCAACATGAATATATTGAGTCATGCACAATGGGACAATATTTTTTCTGTCCAGAGCGTATTGGACATGACACTATATAATAGCTGTCACTATGGCTCTGGCGATCATGTGGTGTTAGATGGATATCAGTTTGTCCTGTGCCACGGTCGATATCGGGAGATTTCATGTGACAGAGATGAGAAAGTCTGGATCTTTGGCGTTGCGTGCGAGGCCAGTCTGTTTTCCCCCTGAGCAGTAGCAGTGCAGTGTAGCGTGGCATTAGACCGATCCTTCCTTCAGCCCTTTCATGTGGATGAGTGATGTGGCCTGTGTCATGGGGTGGAGCAAACATGCACTACAGCACGGCTGGTGTCGATGACTGCCTTATCAAAGAGAGTGCAAATAAACACTCTGGGAATCTATGCGTTGTCTTCATTAATGACTTCACAGTTCACATGTTTTTTTCATGCAGGGATATATATATATTTACAGTATATATGACTAGTTCAATTTTAAAAACAGATAAGTGCCATTAGAATGATATTTGATTACAATTTGCCCTTCACTAAGTCGTTTTTTAGAAATGCCTGATCTATTTTAGTGTCACAAGTTTCACAAATTTACTGCCAATTACAAAACATTTTGAAAATGATGAAATACACCTTTTTGACACATTTTACAGAGATAACTGTTTTTGCAAATTAAGTCTTCATATAGAAAAATATATTTAGAAATGTACTTGCATACATACATGTACTTGTGGCCATACTTGCATGTGAAAGCCAGATCCCATCAGACCTCTGAAGCTACACAGGTTAGGGCCTGGTTAGTACTGTGATGGGAGACCTCTGGGAACACCAGGCGCCAAAGTGGGGTGGCTGCGGCTGTAAAGTGCCAAACTGTAGTTGGGCAAGACACTTCACCCACATTGCCTAGAATGAGTCTACCCCAGGGCAGATGTGACTAAAGTAGTAGTTTATCACCACCGTGTATGAAGTGAAAGAATAATACATGTGAAGGGTCTTTGGGTGTCCAGAAAAGTGCTTTATAAGAAACCAATGCATTATTTATACTTTTAGATTATGCTGGTTGTTTTTAGCTAAGATTTTTTTAACCTGTTTTGTTTGTCTGTCTAAAGGCATTATTCCGATGAAATATTTTAGTATGAAGAAGTATTATGACTGGCTTGCTCTCTGTCAGATGCAATTGGAATCTTTTTTACTCAGTTAAACAATCCAATGAAGTCTGTCTGATTGGATGTCTCTTCCATTTATCTGAAACCACATACGAGACTTGAGAAGAGGGATATTAATTTGTTTGAAAGATATTAATACGAGAGATGATTTTGCGTTAGATTCAGCTCCACAAGACGAGTCCGGCTTTTTTCGGCAGAGGAGGGATTAAGCTGTGGGGGTCAAAAATAGGCAGCACTTGAGGTTTTCATTTTTGTTATGAATGTTTTATTGTTTTGGTTTTTTCTAAAAACACAAACATACACTTCGAACCAAAAGAAAAAATACTCGCTGTGGACCAATCTGAGAAGAATTCAATAATAACAAGCACATAATAGCCGTTGGTCCATATGATTAGATAAGATAAACTTTATTGATCTCACAAAGGAGAAATTTACAAGTCCAATGTCAGTAGATTTGAATAATTGCATAATAGTCCTTTTTTTTGTAGGAGTGAGCAGAGAAAATTCATGCTATGAATTTTTGTTCATAGAACAAAAAATCTATGAGTGTGTAATTACATAAGTCCTGTGTAAAATATCAAAAGGTTTTATTGGTGGTCTCTTTGAGGAACAAAGTACAGTGTCCCAAACTGTGCACATTTTCCCCCTCAATTAATTAGTCTCAAATTACAAAGTAAAAAATATTCATGATATTGAAGGAATATAAGCACATTATAAATAGATTGTGAAAGAAAGTGAACGCCACACACCGACAATATCAACACATATTTTGCCTAAACTTGTTATGTTGTCGTTGCTCCTTTTTGAGTCATTGAGTCACATTCTCTGATATGGAAACAAAGAGAATTTTTTTCAGCTTTATTTGAGCTCACGTCAAGGCAAAATCCACATTATTTCCATGTTTTTGTCATATCTTCTTTTCTAGTGTAACTCTTATTGGGTTGATTGTAAAAACATTCTGCCTGTCCCACTGCATCAGGGGTGTTGCGGTTGTTGTGGACTTACATTGTGCAGTGAGGAGAATCAGATGGACAGAGGAGGAGGGACGTGTCCACTCAAGTTGCATAACATCTTTTTGTCGTGACGTACACACGCACCCGGCCTGAGGCTATTCTACCGTTCACCTTTAGCTATCTGCATCTTTCATCCCTGTCATCGTTATCTTCCAGATTTCTGATGTTTTTGTGATAGAGAGCAGCTGAAAAATGTTTCCTTTCTTAGTTTATAGTTAATTTCTCTCAAAGAAGATGTTATATATTATTATTTTTTTTTTATTGTGTATTTACTTATTCAGAAGGCGATTCAACATGTTCTTTGTCGGTACATGTCAGCAAGGGTCTAATTATGTTCTCATAATGGTGTCTTGAAGTGATGACAGAATTCAAAAACATATGGACCAAGACATGAGAAAAACAAATTTGAATAGTAAATCTAATCAATATCAAATAAGGATCTGAGAAAACATCTGGACATTTTTTCTTTCAACATATATTAAATTTCTTCTTTTTGACATCTAACACATGAACACAACCTATAACTGCTGAACTGTGTGTTTTTGTTGTTGTTTCGTCTTGATAGTACAGATACAGATCATAGCTGTACTCACTACATGATTCTAGATCTGGATGGTAAACTTTGAAGTTGATTTAGTTTCAGCACATAATGCGCCATCCATTTCATCCACAATCTGTTTACTCAGCAGCATCTGTGGCAGTGCCCTAGTTCACCCACACCAGCAGCACGGACACCAAGCTCGACATATTGAGAATATGCTGATGACCAGAAGTCCTCTGCACATTTAATCTCAAGTCCAGGACAAAGACTTGGGGAGATATTAGACAATTTAGAGACTGAATATTATGTACATTGTGTTATAAAAAGACCTGCATCCCTTCATTCTTAAAAGTAGTTCTGACAAGGGCTGGGCCATATTTTTTATCAATGGTTTTTACAGGCAACGGTAAAAGTCTTAAATCTATACTTTAACTGTGTGCGTTGAATATGTCTTCAAACTGATGGATTTTTATTCAGCTATTTCTATTTTCAATTTTCTCTATTTTGCTAAATTTACTTTTTCTCTCCTCTCCGTGTTCCAACAACGTTCCTCATCAGTCACCGACCTGGAGTTGTTTTTCGCTCCATCCATGCTAATATCAGGAATTTCTGCCACAAACATGTAACTCCGCCCCTTCTGTCTAAAAGCTCCTGTCTCAGTCCAGTAATACTATGATGTCATTGTTCCACTATGACAACATGCTCAGAGCAGGGGACTGCCTTATTAAACAAAAGTAATTAGTTTTGTTAATTTCTCAAGTGAAAGGATTTTACATTTACTTGTCTGTGTTTGCATCCTGTTATATTTAGAACTTGGAAACAACCAGAGTAAATTCCCACCTCCCTCTGGTGGTAGCATAGAGAGTTACAGGCGGAAAGCATTTTTTACCCTGCATAATTGTTTCACCATGTATTTTTCTACTGAACATATCGTTTCACCTTCTAAGACATGAAATAACAAAATAAATAGTCTCATTATGAATGGACAAGATTCATGTTTTCTGTGTCTTTTCTTTTTATTCCCAGTGAAAAGTGACAACAAGGACAAGCAGGAAAACCTCATGTCCAAGACAGAGACTGTGGACAAGAAAGAGGAGCAGCAGAAGAAAGACAACATCATGGAGAAGAACCAGAAGATCCTGAAGGAGGAGGAGAAACTCAACACGGACAAAAACAACAAAGTCAGCGAGAAAGCCGAGAAAGTGGACAAACCCGAGAAGACCGACAAGGACGAGAAGAAAGATGTGAAGAAGGAGGTGAAGAAGGAGGACACAGGTAAAACACTTCCACAAGTTAGACTAGAAAAATATCAAATATGAGGTAGTAAATGTGTGAATCAAGTAGGTTTAATCTTGATTCAAGTGCATTTTACTGTCTTACCATGAGATTTTGCCATTGAGGAAAGGGTTCTCTTGTCGGGGCTAATGATGGCTACAAAGATGGTGGCTACTTGATGGAATACCCATCTCACTCGCTGGTTTGTTGGCCATGACATTTGCGGATATTGTCTATTTGGAGCTTTCTAAGACGTACATCCAGTAAGACTACACTGTAAAAAGGGATGACAAATATGTCAACAACGTCTCAAATTTGTCAAAATGTATCTTAATTTGAGCACATTCTTAAGATTTGCCATTGGGTCAAAGCAAAATGATCTTGTTTTAATCTCTCTCTTGAAATAAAGTAACAGTTCTTGAAATTTGACTAAAGGGCTTGTCCCATTGGCATATCGTGTTTAGACCGTCAGAATGTGCTCATAAACGATTACAGCCATTTTTTCCTCATATTTTATCATCTTTTGCAGTGTGAGGTGAGTTCCATCAACCCGTGAACCAACACAATTGACAATCACCTTGTTTAGAACTTTCTGTATGGTCTTTGATGGTTTAATGATTTTTTGGAAAATAATGAAAATGTGTTGTAATAGGACAGGCAAAAATGAATTATTCCAAACACATAATCTCTTTCTCATTCCAAGTGAGAATGTGCTTGTCGAAAAAAAACATACTTCTTGCTTAAGCCCTATAAAATCTTGATTTCAAGGCTGACAATATTTCCTAAAACCAAGAAAAATATAACAAATGCATGCAATATTTGACTTTTTTGTCATTTCTAGCAGCGCAGGTGAAGAAAGAGGAGAAGGCAAAAGTGCCGGCCAAGTCTCCCACTGGGACCAAGGCTGCACCTGGAGCTGACAAGACCAAGGTACGGTGGCCCTCGCTCATTGAGAAAGTGTTCAGATATTGGCCGTACAAATGAAAATCTTGAAATAAAGCTGGGGTATCTAACAACGGAAAGAGTCTTGAAAAAGTAAAATGCTATGAAGAAATCAGTCCACAACATGCTGTCTCCATCTTATAATAAAACAATATGGGCAGAGAGCTGATTGGCTGAGTGAAGGAGGTCCTCTCGTCTTCACTTCTCTGTCTGAAAAAGATTATTTAAAGATGTGACAGAAGCCTAAAACTGTGAAACCTAAGTGATAAAAAACAAACTATTTGGTCTAACCAGGCATAAAGTTAGACAAATTATAAAAATATAGAGACAAAAATTGATTGTTTGCCCTGATGAAGTGGTCAAAACGCGTGGGTGTCCTGTGAAAATAATGGAGCACCTAAATTAATATATATAGTTCCATATTTTTGTGGTTTGACAGTTAGGGACCCTAGGTTTAATGTCTAGTCGAGCCCCAACCTCATAAATCATTTGCAATTTAGAACATTCTTTTTTACACCAATAATGCATCAGGACAACATATTCACCAAGAAAATTTAAAATGAAGTCGCGTCCTTACTTAACACCACACATTCAGAGCGTTCACACGGTTTGAGTTTGTTCACAAATAGACTCGTGAGCTGAAAAGGATGAGGATACAATTCAGTAAAACGTTTCACTCTGCACCGGTGACCTTGCACGCACGCACGGTGGAAAGCTCAGAGGCTTCAGGTGCAGCACTTTCATAGCACGGTTGTAGTTTTGACCTCGACAGCTGCTCCGTCTGACAACACATGAAAGAGTCCTTGGACCAGACGCACTGTTGGCTTCATTATTCGCTGCGTCACCGTCTCTCAGCTGCTCGGCACAGATATCTCTTCGAATTTTGTCATTTTTATGCTTGCCTTTCATATCATGCTCCCCTTGAATGCCTGCTTTTAATCCTAGGCTTTGGTTTCTCACGCTGGGCCTGTCACAGGGATTAACAGATGGAACAATATATTTCAGGTCTTAATATTTATAATCTCTAGAGTTTCTTTGCAATCGTGAGAATATATTTGCCATTTTTTAGTGATGCAATATCCTATGAGCTGAATAAGTTACATTTATGGCTAATTATTGCTTAAAGCTGAAGTACCTAATTCTGAAACCATCAAAATAACTGTGGGATAAATTCTACATATTTCAAAACATTCTGATTCTATCCCTAGTTTGTCACATCTTCAGATCAGATTTTTCAGTGAACGCAGCCAGCTCCCAGTATGTTAAAGATTCACAATGTTTTCTGTTAAGATGAGGTCTGCATGTTCTGGTCCGACAAAATGTTACTTAAAGGAAGACTTTTTCAGTTAGGGCTGGGCGATATGGCAAAAAAAAAAAATCTCCGACTTTTTCACACCAAATACGATTTTCGATTTTAAATCGATTTATTTTTTTCTATTTAAAAACAAACTACAACTGACAAAGAAATAGATTTTCCTTTATGTAGTTTAATCTAAATCCCCATGGAGCATAAGTGTAACAGGAATTAAGCCTTAAAACATGCTTGTAAACGAGATGGCTCTGCCATTGTAAACAGTGAAAATGTAGCTTAACAGTTTTATAATGACTTCACTTACAATGACACTATGCACCTTCAAAATAACTTAAATCACACAAACAAGGCCCATCGCAAATATATCAATCCTATTAAACACATGCATTATTTATATGAAATATTACATTTTTAAAACTGATTACTCAAAATAGAAATGTTGTAACAGACAGTCTTTTCCAAAAGCCTCCTCGGGTTTTCATGCTTGTTCTTTCAACTGTGCCTGAGTAACTGTGCTGTAGTACAACGCTCAGTCCAGCTGGTGGCGCTAATACTAACTTCAGTGACTCCCGCATTGTGCGAGCTTCCTGTTTACATTCTGATGCTGTAGCTAACAGCTACTGTAGCAGCTACTGTAGCTAACGGACAGCGGGGAACACGTTGTTTGTATCAGAGCAATGAGAGCAATGTGTGAGACGTGTCTTTCCCCAAAGTGCAGCGGCTCAGTGGGACACGGGTGTGTGCGCGCCACGGACACGGGAGTGCGCTTTGGAATAACGAGCGTGAGAGAGCGTGAAAGATGTGGCGTACGAACATGGCGTACGAACATGGCGTACGAACATAGCGACCGGGGCTTGCGTGCGTGTGTGTGTGTGTTTTGGCGATTAAATAAAGTCTGATTCTTGAATGTTTGAAGTGTTATTGCAACAGCACCAACTGTGAGAGCGAGCATCAGGCCAGAGGGAGACTGTTAGCATTAGGTTAGCTTCAAAATGACTGCTCAACACCATAGACCCGCGGTTAGCGCGTTAGCGCTGTAGTTCTGCGATGGAGAAAATAAAAATCGAATTTTTAAAAAAAGAAATCGCCCTAAACGTAAAACTCAAATTAATGATTAAAATCGATTAATCGCCCAGCCCTACTTTCAGTTGAGACAAACAAAAGATAGGTTTATTTTACCCTTACAGTTTATGGATTATTCTCACCCGTGGCACAAACTCAATATCATCATTTACTGCAGTACATTTCTGTAACAATATTGCCAATCAAAATTCGTGACAGGCCTCTTTAATGCTCTTTATGTTGTAGTTTATGCAAAGCTGGGCTGCCATTAAACATGATGTCATTGACTCCATATTTGCTCTTGTATCTGCTTCTTCCCCTCTTTTATGTTTGCTATGGCTTGTTTAAATCGCATTACACCAGCCTGATGCGGACACAAGCAAACCAAACTCAGCCAAGCCCCGCCCATCCACACTCTCGTCCAATAACGAGGCTAACACGACCAAACGTCCCTCCCCCACCGCTGCGTACCGCTCGGCCAATAAAAAAAGCCCGGTTGCCAAGGCGACCACACCCACCGCCGCTAAGAGACCCGCAGCAGCATCCGCAAAGGCTGCCAAGGTGAGTGCTGTCTTATTCAAGATGGAGACGAGGAAATATGATGATTATTCTGTCCAAAGTTGAACTTAGAGGTGAACTTTTATTTTTTCTTCAATAAATGTACAAATGATTAGAAACAAACTAAATTTCCATAGTCACGTGACCCTTTCAAGTTATTATAAGGGTCAGTGATGGACATTTTGAATTAGTCCATCCATGAGCCTCACTCTCAGGTCCTCCAGCAGAAACTTATGGCAAAGGTTTTACACAATAAAAAAAGAAATATCCATTTTTTTATATTTATTTGAAATAGTGCCACCCTATATACAGTATATTTACTCATTGACTGCAATACCCAGAGGACCCCAATCAAACCCTTTTGGCCAGTTTTTCTTACATTTGGTGGGAAACAGACAAACAAGATGAAGCCCTGAAACTCTTCAAACTTTACAAGAGATAAAGAACTACTCAAATCAATCATAGAAATATAAACAAGAAAACGATGTAGAGCATGCAATGTAGCTGTTGTTTTTTTTAGAATATCTACTCAGATATAGAATCAGTTGCCTCCACTCCCAAACTTTAACAACAAAAGAAGCAAAGGCAAACACTATATTATATATATATAAAAAAAAAAAAATTGTCCACTCACCTTTGGCCCTCCGCGGGCGGTTATCCCTCTCTAAGCTCGGGTCCTCTACCAGAGGCCAGGGAGCTTGAGGGTTCTGCGCAGTATCTTTGCTGTTCCTAGCACTGCACATTTCTGGACCGAGATGTCCGAGGTTGTTCCAGGGATCCGCTGTAACCACTCATCTAGCTTCGGGGTCACTGCCCCGAGTGCACCGATCACCACGGGCACTACTGTCACCTTTACCCTCCAGGCCCTCTCCAGCTCCTCTCTGAGACCTTGGTATTTCTCAAGCTTTTCATGTTCTTTTTTCCGGATGTTACCATCGCTTGGAATTGCCACGTCCACCACCACGGCTGTCCTCTGCCCTTTGTCTACCACCACGATGTCAGGTTGGTTTGCCATTACCATTCGGTCGGTCTGTATCTGGAAGTCCCACAGGATCTTCGCACGCTCATTCTCCACCACCTTTGGAGGAGTTTCCCACTTAGACCTTGGGGTTTCCAGCCCATACTCTCCACAGATGTTTCTGTACACTATGCCAGCCACTTGGTTATGGCGTTCCATGTAGGCCTTCCCTGCCAGCATCTTGCACCCTGCAGTTATGTGTTGGATCGTCTCAGGTGCCTCTTTGCACAACCGACACCTTGGGTCTTGTCTGGTGTGGTATATCTGGGCCTCTATCGCTCTGGTGCTCAGGGCCTGTTCCTGTGCAGCCATGATGAGTGCCTCTGTGCTGTCCTGTAGGCCAGCCCTTTCTAGCCATTGGTAGGACTTCTTGAGATCAGCCACTTCTGTTATGCTCCGGTGGTACATGCCGTGTAGGGGCTTGTTCTCCCATGATGGGCTCTCCTCCAGCACCTCCTCATCTCGCCACTGCCTGAGACATTCACTGAGTACGTCATCCGTTTTGGCCTTCTCCATGATGTAGTTATGGAGTTTGGATGTTTCGTCCTGGACAGTGGCTCTCACACTCACTAGTCCTCGGCCTCCTTCTTTACGGCTTACGTACAGTCTCAGGGTGCTGGATTTGGGATGGAACCCGCCATGCATGGTAAGGAGCTTTCGAGTTTTAACATCCGTGGTCTGAATCTCTTCCTTTGGCCACCTGATTATTCCTGCAGGGTATCTGATCACTGGCAGGGCGTAGCTGTTAATTGCCCGGGCCTTGTTCTTGCCATTGAGCCGGCTTCTTAGGACCTGCCTTACTCGCTGGAGGTATTTGGCAGTTGCCGCTTTCCTCGTCACCTGTTCGAGGTTGCCATTTGCCTGTGGTATACCGAGATACTTGTAACTGTCCTCAGCGTCTGCTATTGTTCCCTCTGGGAGTGAGATCCCTTCTGTGTGGACTACCTTGCCTCTCCGAGTCACCATCCTGCTACATTTCTCGAGCCCGAATGACATCCCGATGTCATGGCTGTAGATCCTGGTTGTTTGGATCAGAGAGTCGATGTCTCTCTCGCTCTTGGCGTACAGCTTGATGTCATCCATGTAGAGGAGGTGACTGATCTTTGCTCCGTTCCTGAGGCGGTATCCATAGCCAGTCTGGTCAATTACTTGGCTTAGAGGGTTGAGGCCTATGCAGAACAGTAGTGGGGACAGAGCATCTCCTTGGTAGATACCACATTTGATGGTCACTTGTGCGAGCGGCTTGCCATTTGCCTCAAGGGTGGTCTTCCACATTCCCATCGAGTTTGCAACGAAGTCCCTTAGAGCCCTGTTGATATTGTACAACTTCAAGCATTCCATGATCCATGTGTGTGGCATTGAGTCGTAGGCTTTCTGGTAATCAATCCAGGCTGTGCACAGGTTGGTGTGTCGTGACCGGCAGTCTTGGGCGACTGTTCTGTCAACCAGGAGCTATATATATATATATATATATATATATTATATGTATATATAGCTCTGGTGTGTGTCGTCTTCTCTGTCTGGTGCACTCCGGGGTAGTCTTGCACAGTTTTTCCTATGTGGTTTTACTGCAAATGGCAAATAAATGAATCTGAATCTGTTGTGTCACCAAAAGTCGTCTGGATTAGAAGCATCCATCCATCCATCCATCCATTTTCTTCCGCTTTATCCGTTGCCGGGTCGCGGGGGCAGCAGTCTAAGCAGAGACGCCCAGACTTCCCTATCCACACACACTTCCTCCAGCTCGTCCGGGGGGACCCCAAGGCGTTCCCAGGCCAGCTGAGAGACATAGTCCCTCCAGCGTGTCCTGGGTCTTCCGCGGGGCCTCCTCCCGGTGGGGCGTGCCCGGAACACCTCCCCAGGGAGGCGTCCAGGAGGCATCCGGAACAGATGCCCGAGCCACCTCAACTGGTTCCTCTCGACGTGGAGAAGCAGCGGTTCTACTCCGAGCTCCTCCCGTGTGACTGAGCTCCTCACCCTATCTCTAAGGGAGCGCCCAGCCACTCTGCGGAGGAAGCTCATTTCGACCGCTTGTATCCGCGATCTCGTTCTTTCGGTCATTACCCAAAGCTCATGACCATAGGTGAGGGAGGGAACGAAGATTGACCGGTAAATCGAGAGCTTTGCCTTTCGGCTCAGCTCCCTCTTCACCACAACGGTCCGATACAGCGACCGCATCACTGCGCACGCTGCACCGATCCGCCTGTCAATCTCACGCTCCATTCTTCCCTCACTCGTGAACAAGACCCCGAGATACTTGAACTCCTCCACTTGAGGAAGGACCTCTCCACCCACCTGCAGAGGGCAAGGCACCTTTTTCCGGTCGAGCACCATGGCCTCGGATTTGGAGGTGCTGATTCTCATCCCAGCCGCTTCACACTCGGCTGCAAACCGTCCCAGTGCATGCTGCAGGTCCTGGTTCGTTGGAGCCAACAGGACAACATCGTCCGCAAACAGCAGAGATGAAATCCTGTGGTCTCCGAACCGGACCCCCTCCGACCCCTGGCTGCGCCTAGATATTCTGTCCATAAATACAGTGAACAGAACCGGTGACAAAGGGCAGCCCTGTCGGAGGCCAACATTCACCGGGAACAGGTCTGACTTACTGCCAGTAATGCGAACACAGCTCTGGCTCCGGTCATACAGGGATCGGATGGCCCTCAGCAGAGGACCTCCGACCCCGTACTCCCGGAGAACCCCCCAAAGGACACCCCGGGGAACACAGTCGAACGCCTTCTCCAAATCCACAAAGCACATGTGGACAGGTTGGGCGAACTCCCATGAACCCTCGAGTATCCGATGGAGAGTATAGAGCTGGTCCAGTGTTCCGCGACCGGGACGAAAACCACACTGCTCCTCCTGGATCCGAGATTCGACCATCGGCCGTAACCTCCTCTCCAGTACCTTGGAGTAGACCTTACCGGGGAGGCTGAGGAGTGTGATCCCACGATAATTGGAACACACCCTCCGGTCCCCCTTCTTGTAGAGAGGGACCACCACCCCGGTCTGCCACTCCATTGGCACTGCCCCCAATCGCCACGCGATGTTGCAGAGACGTGTCAGCCAAGACAGTCCTACAACATCCAGAGACTTTAGATAATCAGGGCGGATCTCATCCACACCCGGAGCCTTGCCACCATGGAGGCTACCAACCACCTTGGTGACCTCCGCCAGGGAGATGGATGTACCCGCCCCAACATCCTCAGCCTCTGCCTCTGTAACAGAGGACGTGACGGGGGGATTGAGGAGAACCTCAAAGTATTCCTTTCACCGCCCGACAATATCCCCAGTCGAGGTCAGCAGCTCTCCACCCGCACCGTACATGGTGTTGGCAAAGAACTGCTTCCCCCTCCTGAGGCGCCGGATGGTTTGCCAGAATCTCTTCGAGGCTGACCGATAGTCATGCTCCATGGACTCTCCGAACTCCTCCCAGTCCCGGGTTTTTGCCTCTGCAACAGCCCGGGCCGCGGCACTCTTGGCCTGCCGGTACTGGACAGCTGCCTCAGGAGTCCCCCGAACCATCATGGCTCGATAGGACTCCTTCTTCAGCCTGACAGCATCCCTTACTGCCGGTGTCCACCACCGGGTTCGGGGGTTGCCGCCGGGACCAGCACCAGAGACCTTGCGACCACAGCTACGAGCCGCCGCATCGGCGATTGAGGCAGAGAACATGGTCCACTCGGACTCCATGTCCCCCTCCTCCGCCGGGACCTGGGAGAAACTCTCCCGGAGGTGTGAGTTGAAAGTCCGTCTGACAGGGGGCTCAGCGAGACGTTCCCAGCAGACCCTCACTATACGCTTGGGTCTGCCAGGTCTGACCGGCTTCTTCCCCTGCCAGCGGATCCAACTCACGACCAGGTGATGATCGGTTGACAGCTCCGCCCCTCTCTTTACCCGAGTGTCCGAGACACGCGGTCGAAGGTCAGATGATACGACAACAAAGTCGATCATCGACCTCCGGCCTAGGGTGTCCTGGTGCCACGTGCACTGGTGGACACCCTTGTGCTCGAACATGGTGTTCGTGATGGACAAACCGTGACTGGCACAGAAGTCCAACAACTGAGCACCGCTCGGGTTCAGATCAGGGGGGCCACTCTTCCCGATCACCCCTCTCCAAGTGTCACTGGCGTTTCCCACATGGGCGTTGAAGTCCCCCAGGAGAATAACGGAGTCCCCGGGCGGTGCACCGTCCAGTACCCCTCCCAAGGACTCCAAGAAGGCCGGGTACTCTGCACTACCGTTAGGCCCGTAGGCCGTCACAACAATGAGAGACTTGTCCCCCACCCGGAGGCGGAGGGACGCGACCCTCTCATTCACCGGGGAGAACTCCAACACGTGGCGGCTGAGATGGGGGGCAATGAGAATGGCCACCCCAGCTCGCCGCCTCTCCCCGCGGGAAACTCCAGAAAAATGGAGCGTCCAACCCCTCTCAAGGAGTTGGGTTCCAGAGCCCAAGCTGTGTGTGGAGGTGAGGCCGACTATCTCTAGTCGGTATCGCTCAACCTCCCCCACGAGCTCGGGCTCCTTCCCCCACAGTGAGGTGACGTTCCACGTCCCAAGAGCCAGATGTTGTGTGTGCGGACTGGGTCGCCGAGGTCTCCGCCTTCGACTGCCGCCCAGTCTTCTCTGCACCGCTTCACCACGGACCCCTCTGCAGGTGGTGGGCCCACAGGAGGGACCGCCCACGTCATCCCTTCGGGCTGAGCCCGGCCGGGCCCCGTGGGCTAAGGCCCGGCCACCAGGCGCTCGCATACGGGCCCCGACCCCAGGCCTGGCTCCAGGGTGGGGCCCCGGCTGCGCCATGCCGGGCGACGTCACTGTTTTCGTGTTAATCATTAGAAGCATATACTCTCTCAAACAATACATTTCTATATTCAAAATAGAGAGAACCTAACTGCTACTTTGGCGCCTTGTATTCATGTTTCCCACTTTCATCTCACAGTTGTGAATGTCTGCTGTTTGATTTGTTTTGTTTCCTTGTCAAAAAGTTTATTTGCAAATTTCTCTATTCATTCATCATCGTATTGTTATCTTCCAGACTCCAGAGAGTGAAAAACGTCCAGCCGTGCCAAAAACTACTCCCACTCCTCGCGCCGCGGCCAACAAGAACTCTTCAAACGCTGGTATGTTGACAACGCAAGGATTTGTATTCTTATATTGGACTAATGCTGTGTTGGAATGATGAAAAGATTCAGATTTAGTGAACACCATTCCTCTGCCTACAGCCTTTAGATACACTTCTTTTTGCAGTGTGATTAAAGTCCACTATAGTCTATAGTGGACTTAAGATTCACTTATTTTTCTACACTTTTTGTATACACTTCTGTCACCTAATGCACAAAACCTGTTTCATAATAGGCATAACATTATGATAACATTAAAATCAATAAAATCATTAATATCCACAGTGCTTTTAAAAGAGTGGCCTCGAACCTTTTTCTTACTCGATGGCCCCTAACCCTATTTTTGATAGTGACGCTCACCATCCTTATAGTCTAAGAGGAAGTAAAGAAATCCGAGAATAGAATAACTTGGTGACCGTAAGGCTGTGGATCAAACATTTTCCATACTGCCAATCATGTCTACACGCAATAGTGTCTTTACTCACAAATGTATTTTTTGCGATAATATACCTGTTGCTTTACTTTACGATGCGTTCAGTTTTCCATGACCTCTTTCACAGATGAACTCAAAGCTCTAACAGGAAATGTGCCCCAGAACTGGTGCAGCCCTGGGGGACAGGCACAAATATCCCACCATATGTCTCTGTTTTTCTTATGTTCTTGTTCTGGGTTTTATCTTACACTTCAGAAACATTTTGTCATTTTTCAAGTGTGGCTCGGTGACGCACCTGAGAGGAAATGATTCATTCACAATCACACTGTAGACGTCCTCAGAAGGTTTTTATCCTCGCTCCTTTTTATGTCAAGTGTGAAATAGAGGATTTTTTCACACAACGCTGTGAAAAGGAAACATCTCTGATTCAAAACCACAACCAAGTATCCTGGAATAGATGTGCGGCTACACAATGTATTCAAAAAGGACATCAATAACTTATTTTTGTGGATTTACAAAACAGGGAAAAGCTTTTTTCAGTCTTGAAATAATTCTGGTGCTACGTTCTTTTTGTTCCTACAGCAAACAAGAGTGAAAAGGCTGAGAACAAGACGAATGATGCTAAGAAACCCAAGACTACAGGTACACGTTGTAAAACTGTTGAAACATTCTAGATTTTTGCTAGTGTATATTTTTTTTTTACTAAGAGTATATGATAGTTTTGGTTTTATCACTCATCTCCATAATATACCCATTACATTGTTGATTATGGTGGTAATGATCCATGACATTTAAAGACATTCATGGACATCTATTAACATTTAAAGGTTATCCGCCCCAAAGTGGACCAATGGCTCTATGTGTTTTTTATTGTTGCATTTCATCTGTTGCATCTGTTTGATTCTCTCATCTGTGTTGGCAAATCGACAACTTTGCTACGTCCTCCGACATAACTACTGTTGTGATTCAGGCCTATACAAAAATACAACTGTGCTTTGTTTTGAAAAATGTGTTTTATTGAATTGAAGATTAAAGTTTGAGTGTTTTCAGACAAAAATGAAAAAGAGATATGCCAATGAGCCATTTGATGCAATAGTGACTGTTTTTACATGTGAAAATTAGAATATTGTTCAAAAGTGTATGTAATTCTCTAATTAAATGAACAATGTGAAATTATTTGAAAATGAGATGTATCAAAATGTTGTTAAATGGCTCAGAGCATTTGAGGAAATTATTATTAGTATTTGAACAGTAAGCCATAATCATCACATTCTAACAAAGGCTTGACCTATACACTTTGCATCAAATGAGTCACAAAAAATTTTGGTTTAGTTTCAGAATGAATTGACTTTTGAACGATATTCTAATTTTCCGAGATTCATATAAGAATGCATGCTTTCTAATGGGACAAAGACAGCATGTTGTGGTCTGACTTGTCCACAACATTTTACTTTTACTATTTCTGTTGGACGAACATGTATTATTTATCAACAAAAGACAAGTTATGTACCCCAGCTGTAAGTGTCGAACTGTGAATCCCACTGTTAGAAATTGAGATAAATAGATATTGAGAATCAAAACCATTAAATGAACACAAAGCATAAATCTGTCTGCAGCTCGTCCTCGTCCCACCCCCACCTCCTCTCCTGCAGCGGCCTCTAACGGCGAAGGCTCCGCCCTGCGCCGCCGGGTCATCACCAAACCCCCGGTGCCCAAACAGACGCCTCTGGAGAAGAAGCCCCCTGTCCCCCGCGCCCCCCGAACCCCCCGGCCCATCAACGCTCCCACTCCCGATCTCAAGAATGTCCGCTCCAAGATTGGATCCACTGACAATATGAAATACCAGCCCGGCGGAGGAAAGGTGAGATGCACACGTACAATTACCAGCCTGGCAGGAAAAATAACAGGTTTAAGGACTCGCTGTATAAATATGCTGACTTCTATACACATGCTATTTTTATCGTTGCCATGACAAAAAGTGAGAGCCAATGCTATGTGATGTCACTGTGGCTTTGGTCTCAGATTATAATTACAGGTAATATATTCTTTGCTCAATATTTTAGTGAGTGCACCATGCTTTTATTCCAAGAGCATCAGCAATAATGTTGTTACAGTACTTGCTAGACTAGAAGTACTTTTTGTTCACATAATGTATAGGTTTTCAAGTTATATTGTAACTAACTAACAGCTGATGGAGCAAAACAGTGCACTGTTGACTTGTGATAATGAAAGAACTCTGGTAAATCCAGTCTATTTGGACAAAACATTCCTACTAAAAAGTCAAAATAATAAGTCCATCACATTTTCTCTGACTATAGCCCTAATCACATTAAAAAATGTCCTATGTGTTTCCCTGGACTTCCTCATATTGTCTATCTGCTGTTCACATAAAGCCTTGGAAAGCAGGCTACGTCATCAGCTCCGGAAATCAACCGCTGATAGAGCTGTGTCCAAATCCCTTTCAAACACAGGGGGCGCTCCATCAAAAATAAAAATACATACATTGGCCACATCACTATATGGGCTGCAGAGTTCAAAGAAGTTGAAAAAAGTAGCAGCTTATCGTCCCGCAAGTGCTGTAGCTACGGAAATCCTTGGTCATTTTGTTTAGGAATGTATACAAATATGGGACAAAAATGACAAGGTGAAGTTAATTAGCATTATCGCATATGTAGAAAGATATAGAATTAAACTTAAGCACCATCCTTCATTTGATAAGAGCACAATTCTCCACTACTTTTCTCCATGATGCAGTCTTTTCACAGAAATTCAACTGGTGTCATTTAGTTTGTTTAATAACATATTTCTGCAAAGACGTATCACCATACCTTTCCCAAAGCACTCAACTTGGTCCGAATAGTTCCTATACTTAACCTGAAATAATATACTTGGAGAAAAGTAAAAACATTTTCTATAATCAACAAAGTGAGATGAATAGATATTTGGCACTATAGTCCCACTCCCAATTTATGGACAAATTGATAAAGGCAAGTTTTTAGTTCAAAAAGAATTCCTCAGTCATCCAATATTATTAGTTTTAGGGCCCTAGTCTCAACCTAATCTGATTTATGGAAATGAGGGCACTGTATGTGGTTCCAATTTCTTACAAGTTGTTTGAGTAGCATTGAGGAAGAATCAAATGTCCTCTGTTGAAGTCTGACCTCGCCTATAAAAAGTTAGGAATCGATCTTTCTGATAAATGCCACTCTATCCATTCTTTGTGCATATTTGACTCTCACTACGACATTCCAACATAACAAAGATCTTACTCACGGCTCTAAATCACTTGCCTCATCTTTAGATCAGCTTTTTTAGACAAAATACTGAAAAAGAGAAGACCACCCTTATCCAGTTAATAAGCTCTCAACCCGTCAAGTTGTGACACACAGGGCTCTTGCTTAAAAGAAAAACATAAAATGGTTAGAATGAAGACAGCAAGTCGTTGTCAAATTTGTTCACAACATTTGATGCTTATGACACTCTTTCTGTTGGGATAAACAATGTGTATCATTTATGAAAAAGATAAGTTAGATACCCCGGCTTTAACTTTGGGAGGGTTTGCCATAGTGTCGTCTCTGGCTTTAAACTGATCAAGAACAACAGCCACCCTTCTCAGCAAAACAATTGGCAGTGTAACAACCAGCAGTAATGTTAGTTATTGCACATGGAAGAAATCTATGTTCTTAACGACACAGCAACACCTTCGCTGATCACAGATGAGAGGCACCTCCTGCCGTTCCCTCACACTTGTTTTTTTATGAACATCACATAGGCAGGACTCGCTCTGACGTCTGGACCACTGGCCTCCTCTCTCCATTTCTTAGAACCGGAAATGTGTTGGTGTTGTCACTTTGAATCATATACATCTGCCCTTGTGATGAGAAAGAACCAACTCAAGCTGTCTGTCTTGCAACGCACTATACTGTACATACTGCACACAAACACCTACATATGAAATGCTTTTCCCTATTTCATATTTTCAAAGAGCAATTTGAAAATAGACTTGTGAGACAGGGCCCAGATAGTGTATTAGTTTAGTATTTTCATGTACTACTAAGATCTGCTGTACCTTACCGCTGGGGTGCCTTTGCCTCTTTTTAAATAAAACGGTGTGATTGCTCCAACAGAAGGATTTGTGTGAAAGTAAAATGTTGAGAACACGTCAATCTACAAAATGCTGTTGTCATCGTATTATAAAATATGTTTTCTTGTAGATACTTGTATGAAAGAGCCCTGGGAGCCTAGTGATTGAATCAAACTGTTATGAAAGCCAGAAACTAGTTACATATAATTTAGTATCTAAAACATAGTTCCATTATTGTAGTTTAAAAGTTAGGTACCCCAGCTTTAAGACAGCACCAACTATATGAATGTACTATCGGAGATGTGGTTGTACTTTATCATTCTCATAATAGATTTTACTTTGATATTTTGAAAAAAAAACGTTCTATTGTCCAAAAAAGCGACAATGTCTTTTGATATTAGTCCTATACATATCTTGGCTAGACAAGTTCATTTTAAAAAACTATTTTAAAAAGCGTATATAATTGATTTATTAAAACAATACATGTTAAAACCTTACAGTTCATCTAAAAATAACTTGTAACCTGGATTTGAACGTTTGCACTTTTTTCCTTCATCACATATTCTTCTTATCATTGTGTTGCGTGTGAGCCCTTAAGATCCGGATTCCATTTATCTCACACATTCCCTTTCAAAGCTGCTCTCCCTTTTTCTCTTCATTATCATAATACCTTTTAAACTCCTTCCTTTGAAACCCTCTTTCACAAATCTATACGGCTGAAGCATCTCTGTCGTCCTGCTGCACAGAACATGAGAGTCTGACCTTGTTTTTCTGGACTTAAGTTTGATGCGTGTCCGTGTTATTAGTCAATTTTTTCTTTTTCAAAGTCACTCTCCCGTCGTTTCTGTGTCAGGGCCCACACTGCATCACAATAAGTGGCACTGACTCGCTCATGTCCCAACCATATTGACATAATTAAGTATTCTAATACGCTCCATTCCACAGCCGCCTTTCACCCTGAGCCCAGATTGAAATGCTGGTCGTGAGGTTTGATAACGCTCAAAGCCCCTGTTTGAGGCCGGTATTTTTGTGTCATAATTATTATGCTCATTCTGTGCTAACATTAGATCAGTGAGTCAAGTCCTTTGGTAACATTTGTTTTCGTACTAAGAAAAGCCCATGTTCTTCCTTCCACCTCCTTAATAATGAACTGATGCTTGAAAAGGCCAATGTACTGTATGTATATATTATGTCTATATATCTGGTGAACACATACAATAAACCATAGGCCTTTCTAAACCTGCTAATATTTGTTGGCCATAACAATAATGTTTATGGTGATACCTGCTACTTCAATTGTATTTCTTTTTTTAATAAATAAAATACAATATAATGTTGTTGTAAATGGAATACATAATTTCAACCCTATGACACTAGTTATTACTAGTGTTATCACTAGTCATTTAAATAAATGAAATGTCATACATTTTGAATAAATGTTAAAAGAATGTTAAATGAGGGGCCTCAGTCATCTAATTGACGCTTGGATTAAAAAGATGTCTCTCCATCCTCACATATTGACTATAATATATTTTTAATATATAAAATATAGTAGACCACTAAAAAATATTTGGTGGATCATAGGTGCATTATGTCTGATCATGTGAGAGTACAACATGCTGTCTTTGTCTTATTTAAAAAATAAATAAAATAATAATAATAATAAAATGTGTAGCCCTGTGAGACTAATGGAAAACATTGGAAACAAGGAAGTGACATCAAAAAAAAAACATTTACAAATTCAAGTCCAAACGGCAGTCATGTCAGTCAAAACACCTGAAAATAAATAATAACTTTCTAAACAATGTGTTAACATCGCCATGGTGACAGGTAGCAGACCCCATCATAGTGCACCTTTGTTATTACTATTTTCTGTAGCTACATGTTGAAGGTGTACAATCAGCAACAAAACCTTTCATATTAAACTTCATCCTAACTGTAATCCCATGATGCTCCGCTTGCATTGGCTTCACCCGTTTGTGTCGTGGCGATTGATTGATTGGAGGTATTATTGACCAGGGGGTTGGTTGTCTCCCCAGGTCTCCTCCACTCCGAACAACAAGACATCCGACCCCTCCACCCCTGCCAAGGCCAGAGTGAGTCCCATCATGATCCACACTCAGCATCCCCCCGGTCTCAACAGCCTACACTCGTGCCATTTCACATCCGTGCAGAACTCAGGCTTTAGACATGTACAGTATTAGTAGTGATTCATTGGACCATAACCTGTAAACAAATGAACAAGCTCATTCAAAACACTATTAGGAAAGGAACAGTAATACTTTTGCAGATGTAAGCCGTTTATGTATAATGTGCACCAGATGTGACGTTTAGAACAGATGAATCACAAAACTGAAACAAAACCGCAACAAATATAGGTTAAAGTAATGATTGCTTGTAGGCAGGCAATTAAAAACCATTGTTACATCGTCAATAAATATGTTTGTTTGTTGACTCACTATATTAACGTGGGCCTTGCAATGTATTTTCAATTCAAATTAGCATTGGTACATATTGGCCACAGACATAAGGAGACAGCAATTACAATAAAGAATGGATTTTATGGCTAATTTTAATGAGACTATTTACGTTTGTATTTCACGTTTTAGAATGTGAAACATATAACCTTTTGTAGCATACTTTTAGTTAAAAAAATACATGGTGAAACAAGGATGAATGCAATGCTTTCTCTCTGTAACTCCCTACTACTACCAGAAAGAGGAGTTGTTTTTTTTAGTTTTCTTTTTTAACAAATTTGTGAATCTCCAACTCCAAATCAAATCAACTCCAAGTCTATTTTTGATGAGGTAACAATGGTGTAACATTGTTAAAAGCGTAATAAAATATTTGCATAATAAGTCTCCTTTCAATAGTTTTCTGCTTAAGTGAATGTGCTAGAAAGACAAAAAACAACAACAAAAATATATAAATGACCCCTGACCAATGATAAAAGTACATATGCATATGCACGGCTATTTGGTTGGTAACATTATTCCACTTATTTACAGTAATTCTCTTCCTAAAGACACATAGCATTTGATGTCTATCTTACAAATAGACATATTTGTATGCGAAATAGTACTCAAAAATAGAAATATAGAATAGAACAGTGTCTCCCAAAGTGGGGTCCGCGGCCCCCTGGTGGGCCGCGAGGGTACTGCAGGGGGGCCGCGGGAGGTCATAAAAAAAATAAAAAAAATAATATTATTATTTAATGTTAAATTTATAATGTTTTGTTTGTAATATTAAAATATTTGTGTTCATTATTTGACTTGAATAATCCACTGTAATCATTTTTGTATTACAATGTTTGTAGCAGAGGCTATTTCCCCAAAATAAAATAACCAGAAGAGCCTATTCTTAATGTTGTCTTCTTGGTTATTATTTTGGGGGGCCACGCAGACCCGTCAGATTTTTAAGGGGGCCTCGGTGTTACTGAGTTTGGGAATGGCTGGAATAGAATATCCGTGAAAACAATACACACCCAGGATTGTATCTAGTTCAGCTCGCTCCGTAAACGTATAAAACATGATTATTTATGTCCCCACTGCAGCGCACACACAGATCTTCACACCTAAATTAGCCCACATGATAAACCACAGGCTTGCAGCTGCTACACTCGCTCCAGATGATTTTTTCAGCTCATGCGGCCTCCTCGCTATAAAATAACAAACAAAGGAGAGCGTTTACGAGCTGCAGATACGTGTGCGGCTGCTCAGATATGAAGTGTATGTCTGTTAACTACTCTGTGAGTCATCCTCTTTTGCTGCTGCTGCTGCACCTGCGTCATCGTGCCATTTTCATCCCAGAGCACGAGTGAAAGGGGAAAGGCGCCACAGGCCATTCGAGCGCTAATACCACAAAGGAATCAGACAGATTTGTTTTATACCTTTATTAAAACAACATACCTTGTTTTTAACATTTTAGTCAGGTCCATCTTGTCTTCTCAGCAGATACAGATAATTGTTTATTCTATACCAGACAATTGTACGATGATAGGCCTTGATTTTATGCCTTTGAAAAATATGTCAAGGTGCTAACATCGCCACAATTCTCTGGTACAGAAGAACCAAATAACGTTTTGTTTTTAACAGGCCAACGCTGTATACGTGCTTATGCTTACCTTATGTTTTCTTCTTTTGACATGACATTCTGGTGGAGGGTGTTGCTTTTGCACGGGTTGTTCCTCATTATGGCGCAGAAATCTATCTTACTTTGATTTGAATTAATACTTACTAATACTAATTAAATCATGCATTGCTCCTGTGCGTAAGCAAGCCTTTGCATAGATATGACCAGTAACTTGGTCTAATGGTCTAATGCCATACTGAGGAACATTCCAGGCAAAAGAAAAAAATAGCAAAGAAAAAGCAGGACTCTGTTCAAAAGTTGTAGTTTCAAGTGGTATTATGAATAACTACACTCAAAAGTTGCTCAAAAGTTCATTTATTTATTTTATTCAACTTAAAACGCGAGACAGATTTATAGAACTATCACATGCAGAGTGACATATGCCTGCATTTTACAAGCTGTTATCAGCATTATGACAAATAGATGCTTGATATATCTCACTTTGCGTATAATAAGTCTTACATTAATTTCACATTGAAGTTGAATTACAAAAATAGTACATTTTTGAACAATTATTTGATGCATAGACTTTGTAATGTTGATACCTTTGAATATTGTGGAGACTTTAGTTTATGGCATTAATATAATACTGTAGGCTTACTATAGGCATAAAACTAATTGGGAAGATTCTGGTTATAGTCAAAAAACGCACATTTAAGCATAATATTTTTCCTACAAACTGTATATGTTGCACTTCCAAGATGTATTGAATATTATAACATTTTCAGTAGACATAGAATTTAGTGAGATGTTTTCACTCCACAATTTTCAAGTTTGATTTATTTTCAAATGAAATTCTTGATTAAAAGTACAAACAAGCTTTGAAAAAGAAAAACGCGCCTATTATCTGTAAATTGTACAAATCAGATTTCATTTTTTCAGACACACACACCGCTCTTATTAACCGGCTATTAACATTTGGTGTACGATATATGTTGCATGAGCACTCGTGTTGTGACATTTCTCTTCAAGCTGCGTATGGAAGCGCTCTGTCGGCATCAAATATTCAAAATACTCGTATAACTCCACAATACTAAAAAGATAGTGAACACAATGTATTTAAATTTACGCTTTGTGAGCGGTATAAATATTTGAAGGACAGAAAAGCTTCCATATGTACAGTGCGAAGCTATTCTGTATCTTGTTAACCAAAGCCGTTAGCTGATCTACAATTCTCTACTGCCTGCTTTTTCTGTGTCTATCTCCCATTTTATTTACCTCCACTCCCTTTCCCTCTTTTCTTTTGCTCTGTGTGCGCCTTTGTGTGTCTGCCCGTCTGTCCGTAGGTTCAGATAGTGCACAAAAAGCTGGACTTCAGCCATGTCACGTCTCGCTGTGGCTCCAAGGACAATATCAAACATGTCCCTGGAGGTGGCAATGTAAGTAAATGGTCATGCTGAAGTCACACTATTGGAAGAGTGGACGCCTCCGCCTGCAAAACTCTCTCTCCCTGTATTTTTCCACTTAGTCACTCGTTTGTGCCCACCTCGTCTGGTTCCATCACTACATCATTGGTGTTTTGTGGTATTTATGGTGTGTCAGTAAATACAGGTAGATTTATATAGATCGATAGATTTCAAATAAGATGGAAGACACAATTATAATCGTGGGATTAACTGTCAAACTAACAAAATATACTTGATCTTCTCTACAAATTTCTCTTTCAGGAAAATTTATTCTATTGTTGTAACTTGGTAAAGCTGCTCAATTAGTCACATATGCAATAATAATTAAACATTTAAAAAATGTATCCAGGCAAATAAGCATACCATCATAGTGAAATAAATGTCATGCGAAACAGACAAAAGAAGTATCCCTGAAGCAGTGTTTCCCCAAATATTCATAATAAGAGATTATTATGGGCTATTGTGACATCATTTAAAAAAAGCACCCATATCATTTTGTCCATTATCAACATTGAACCCGGAATACAATTTATAGTATTAATAATTGGCCTATCAGTGTGCAGTAACAAGCTCCTTTTGGTCCAGTTTTGGTTCAATCAAGCATTAACTAATTATGTTCATAAAAATGTAAAGCTTGACCTTAAATAAAAAACAATACCTGCCTATTATAAACATATACAATTAATGATAAAATAATCAAAAGAGGCGTTTTAGACATACTTGCCCTAATGAAATGATGGATACCTCGGTGTAACAGTAAAGCATAGAAACAGCCAAAAAAAGAAGAATAAAGAGTTAAGGCAAAGGAAGGTTTCTCACCCATCATCTGTACTTCTTAGCAGGTTTTCCCGACATTTTGTCCTTCATCTAAATAACTTTTTCAAGGGAATGAAATCTCAGACTGTGCGTTGGAGATTTATAACTTATGGGTGTGGTTAGCCACACCCTAATCCTGATGCTAACTCATTAACAAACTAAGGTGTGTTGAAACGTGCTAAGAAGTACAGATGATCGGTGAGAAAACTTCCTTTGCTTTGACTAATCCCTGTACGACTGAGAGCTTACAAAAACTAACTAAGAGTTAAGTTTATGCTTTGCTAATTGACGGTAAAGATTGTGGGATAACATTTACTGTTCTATACTACCCATATATTTTGGTGTCCTGGAAATCACAAAATATTCATCCAGGTCACGAAACCTTTCAACAGGTCAAAATGGGAAATAGACCGTCCAAATGGCAGTCGCTTGTAGTAGTACATGCATTATTAACCACCGCCTTGCTTTCCACCGTGGTCTGTCATAAAAAATGCAAATCTGATTGATCTCATTCCATATTGTTAGTGACGCTCATACCAGCTGCCATCACATTCTGCTCCTGGTTGTCAGAGTTCTCAGAGAAAGAGGGTGGTGAGTTTATGACTGAAACGTGTGACATTAGGACCTTTCTCCTTCCCAGGTGCAGATCTTGAACAAGAAGGTGGACTTGAGCAAGGTGACCTCCAAGTGTGGCTCCAAGGGCAACATGAAATACAAACCAGGTCCATTTATTTCCCTTGACGACAGCATTAAAAACAGTTTTCTCTTGGTCTAAAACTGTTACGTTGTTTTATTTCTTTATCTCAGGTGGCGGTGACGTGAAAATCGAGTCCCACAAGGTGAACGTTAAGGCCAAATCTAAAATTGGATCTCTGGATAATGTGGGAGCGGGCAATGGACAGGCTAATGGACACAAGGTCAGATGTCATGAAACCAACAAAAACAGATTAATTAAAACGTTCTTAAATTTAGCATATTGATGAGATTATAACTGGGAAAGGTTCTCATGACATCAGTAATGACTATACAAGATGAGTTGTATGTTCAAACTAATATATGACAGTCATACATGCAAAATGAAAGATATCACATCTTTATTTGTTATAATGTCAATAATTGGCTCAAAACTTATACAAATAAAACAGATCAAAAAAATGTAATATCAAAATTCAACATATTTCACTTTTGAACAATATTCTAATCTTCTGAGTTTCACCGGTTTAATTTGTATTTTGTTGTTATGAACCTCATAGTCAACACAAAAACTATTTCATGTCCAAATATGGACAATTTTATAAACCAAAAGGGCAGAAGTCTGTTAGTTATTTTTGTCTAACCCTACTCCCAAACTCAACATCAAGTCACAAGATGTTGCAATTCTGTAAAATATAAAATTGCAAATTGACTGTGGATATATGACTTATGCAGAACATATTACAATCATTTATACACAAGTGTTTAGAATTTATATAATCTATACCGATCTTCAAAGACAATTTTTTAACCCTAACCCTAAGTGTCAAACAGTCTTGTACAGTTGAAATAATTCAACTTTGAATGAAAGTCCCCAGTCCTGCTATTGAACCCCGTGGGTGTAGGTTTAGCCTGAGACCACTAGATGGCAGGTCTTCACAGGATGTCTGTCTGTTTGTGCACAGGATCCGAAGGTGGAGGAGAAATCGCCTTCACCTCCGAGTGGCACCAAGGAAAACGGTGTGAAAGAACCTCCACCTACTCCTTTTGGGGGGGACGGACTGAGGGACTCCATCGGCTTAGACAAACACATTACTCAGACAAGTAGGTGTCATGGACAAAATCAAAGCTGGGGTACCCAACTTTGAAACTACATAAAAAATGCCTATGTAATCAAATGTATGCAACTAGTTCCTTCCTCAGATCTTAAAAGACTGGAATAGGATAAAGACAGCCTGTTGTGGTCTGATTTGTTCATAGAATGTAACATAAACAAGACTCTCTCTGTTGGGACAAATAACATGTAATTATGAAACAATGGAAAAGTTGGATACTTCAACAGTAAAATTCACACTGATTAAGATTTGATCTATTCATGACAACAATATACAGAGGGTATATCTGCTGGCCTACATTGACTTCAATCCTATGCATATTATTTGTGGCATGATAGACCTATGAAAACAAAAAAACAATAACCATTTGCTAACTCCAGACCCTGGCTATAAAGGTTGGTAGTTGTACAATTCCCCATTTATATGTCCATTTGATAATGTCAGATATAAAACTATCAAATCCCTAAGCATCTATTTCATATTCTCTCATATCCATATGAATTGTGAAGATAGTCTCAAAGTGCTTATCCTTTGCTGTGTCTCTGGTTTAGAGTTTGGTTAAAAATAGCTGCCATTACCTCGCTCAATGAAATTAGAAACAGAGCCTCTCTCTTGAACTGTCTTGTTTTTTGTAGAAATCTCTTCAAAAGCAGCAGACGTATGTTCACAAGGTCTCCAGATCTCTGCCACATGAAGCCGTTTGCAAATTTAGACTAAGTGACAAATGGCCACGGGGTTAATGCAATACAAACAGAGCTGTTTCGTTAATTTGACTAATAACTCATTAGGCCGTGCCCCAGACATAAATGGCCTTTTAGCAAAAAATGAATCTGACCTGAAATTAGACGAGCCTCACAATGTGACTGGGTGGAGAATGCAATTAGTGTGTGTGAATGTGATATGATTGTTCATTTATTAGTATTAGGGCAACTATTCTTCTCTGCAAACATAAATTACAACACTACACTATCCTGACCAGCCAGCCACTACATTCTGACAAAGGTGATTTTTGAAGCACAAGTAAGAACAAGGAGTTCATGCTCAATTTAGATGCAGCCACACAAAAATATTTTAAAATACACATTCTTGGATAAAAGCCACTATTTACTATTTTATCAGATACAATACAAATATATAATAATGTAAAGTTTAAATAATACATAAAAAGTGCTTCCTGTTTCCTGTAACGGACTTTAGCTGTCCAATCACTTTGGACAGAGATTCAGATAAAATATTGTAAAATCGTGTGGTTTTGGCTGGTCAGGCTATTACTACACTAACTAATTTAACGAAAGCAAAACAAAGCCCTCTGCTCTATTTGTTGTTTAAATGATTCTAAATGCATTATTCTCCCGTTCTTCTCTGCAGACTGAAACCCTGCGTCTCGAGTAAACCGGTGAGCCACACTTGGCGCTTGCCCACCTGCCTGCCGACCAATCAGCCGCCTCACTACTGCGCAGTCACCTTGATCCTCTGTTCATGTCGTTCACCGCAGCACCACAAACAAACCGGTCGTGTCTTCATGTTTCTCCAGGGCGCCCCTGCCAGCCTCCTGCTACAAACCCTTCAATGCACTCGCCTTTATCACAGAGAAGAGCACCTACTGGTTATACATTACTATGGGACCATCCCCAAATCTCAGCCTAAAGTGTTACTACCCCAATACAGATGAAAGAAAACCTGAAGTATCTCCAAATAATGAATAACCTTTACCACTAACACAGGGTAAATGTATTCACTCAGCTTTGCGTAGACGCGTCCTGCCTGCCCTGCTCCTCATTATCCATATCTCGAGTGCTTCACATTGTCTGTATTCAAATAATAATTTCCCATCTTTCGTTGTTACTCCCCCGTCTCTAATGAAGCATCTTGACGCATTGTTAGAAGTAAAAGATGCATGTAACATCTGAAATATGAGCAGCTTCACCGCATTATTGTATTCTTGAATTTAATGAATTACCCTAAATTAGAACATTGTTGCATAAAACAAACCCTTGAATGGACTTGTAGTGTAACATTAATCCCATTGCATCTACTGTAGAGAAACGCACATGACCACAGTTGGAGAAGGTGAACAACATGTTTTCATTTTATGACAATGTAGTCATACATAGTTACAGCGTGAAAGAGGCAACTGATGCGATACATGCAGAGTGTGTAGCTAATGCTAGTTTTCAACTGCTGTCCCAGTTTGAGCTTTTCCCTAGGGTGCATATGAAGGGTGTCAGCAAACATCGACACATACAAACGCATTCAACAAACATAACCCTTATAAATGAGCAGGCCTCATAACTGATACACATTATTCACATGTCAATTTGGATTTTGGTTGCTTGTTATTTATTGTGTTCGTACTGAGCAATAATTATAACATTATTACAACATTTTAAAAACTACAGTTACTAAAGTTACAGTTAATAAAGCTACAGTTTTAATAAGGCCCAGATAATGATTGCCCATGATCCATCATTATCCGCCTGGGCTCTGCGCACTGATCACATGGTCTGAGCACAACACTAACGAACGCAGAAGACAATTACCACTGCACTTCATATTCCTTCATAGAATAAGACACAACATTGCCATCTGAAGGGAGGTGATCTCATTTGACAGCAACCTAAAGGAGAGTCCAAGTGAGCTAAAATGTATGCAGTTTATTCTTTAACAGTATATTGACTAGAATTGTCATAAACACGGAAGCACATATATTTATACACTTAAGACACATTGTAGGCCAAAAGACATTCTCATTTTCTTGTTATTTCACCTATCTTAGCAGCAATAGAGAAAGTCCTCCCTTTACTAACAGAGCATAGGGTGAAAGAGTAGCCAAAAATAATCAGTATTTGTGGATAATGTTACATTCATGGCAAGTTGGAATTTTTAACCAATAAAAACACCTCCACTACTATTCAGACTGTTTTTAGTTGCACTGTAAATAGAAGGATTTTATAGTATTTTAAACATATTTGTACCCCTTTCATTAATTCTGCTCATTTTTTTGCATAAATGAGAAAAGTAAAGTCAACACAATATATATGTTTTGTCCTGGACTGCAGGAACTGGAAGCTTGAGATGCCATGAATGCAGCAATATTTCAGTAGGCAGAATGTGATGGCATCATTATTTGCAAATCTATATTACTCAACATTTTTGTTTTAAAGGTGTACAATTTATATATTAAAGATGATAAACATTGCAAAAAAATCTTTACAGAAAGAAAAGACAAGCCCCCAGTTTTAGAATAGTGTTATATTGAAAAGGTTGGGTACTTAATTAATGAGTAAAAAGTATTTTATGCATAAATAGAAGTCCTATCAGCACTGTGATGTGATTTTATTCTATTCTACAGCGCAAGCACATATTTTGTGTCAGATCTGCTCTTTACTGTAACATAGGGATGGTCCTGTGTTCTCACTGCATCTCTATGCATCGTGCATTTGTGACTGGAGCGGTCCCTGGTGAAACGGAGAGGATGAAATATGTTTGTGGCGCAAGGCTTTAGTACTTGTCAGATGTGTGAAGTGTTTACTACTGCATCCATCCTGTAGAGGGCGCTGCTAGGCCTGTGAAACACTGATAGTCTGGCTTTGATACAGTATTACATTTACTGTTACATTATTTAAGATTAGTCTGGTTCAAATAATATGAGAACATAACTTATCCCTCTCCACAAGTCTTGTGCACTTTGAAAGTTGATGCACTAAGAAAGTGAATTCGCTTTACTGTAATACATTGCCAGCTATGTATTGTACATGTATACTCTATGAAGTAAAGCAAACGTTTAAGTGTTAGAGATAGACTAGGATAATCAAACAAGCAATCTATCATTTCCAACAAAAAGTACAATAGTCTGTGTTCCCTCGTCCCCTGAAAGGGAAACTACACAAAGTATAATGTGAATTACTGTTTGATAATGACGGAACAAAGGGTGAACGCACTTTGATAGGTGTAGGCTTTGGGTAGTGTATGTATATAGAGTTAAGTAGGAAACGTAGCAGTCTTAATGTTTATGTTAAAATTTTCAAGGAGGACTCTGGTATCAAGAAGGCACAGCTCGATACTGGTATAGTGGATTTTAGTGGATCTTTGGTCTTTGGTGTTGTGCTATGATGGATTAAAACTCAACTCTCCAGTCTGCCCGCATCTTGTTTCTTGTACTGTTTTTCACATTTTGGCCAACCTGCAATGGCGTTTTTGTTTCTTGGATTTTGTAAGACAGAATTAGTCAGAATGTGAGTTATAGGTTAGCCAGGCAACTAACTTAATATACACAGGGCGATTAATGAGGATTTTGAATGTTTTTGAATGTCTGTAATTTATATAATTTCACAAATATAGACAAATGTTTACTTGAGAATTGTTTCTATATTAACATGCACATAGAAAAAAGCTGCTCACTGTGGTTAATATTTATGTAAATTTGCAATTTTGTTCATTTTTTTATTTGTTCTAATTTGTATTTCTCTAAAGTCTGTTACTGTTTGATCTTGTGGCTTGGTCAAAATGTAATCACCATATTCAATATCTTGTCCATTGACTGCTGTATGCTCCTTGTAATAGCGCTTTAATGCCACTTTCCACTAGTATCACATTGTCCTATATATGTATATAGATGCCATGTTTTTATATCACTCCAAATATATAAAAATAAAAACACAAAAAGTCATTCTTAACAGATTGTTGTGGATGAGGACGTAAGATAAATTATGACACAATATTATTTCAATTTGGTAAACGATAACAGATGGGGGGCTGTATTTTAGAAAGAAGGGCTGTTCAAGAATTCAAGAATGTTTTCCAAGATTATGTAAAAAAAAAAAAAAACACTACAGATTTGGATTGGAAATGTATGTGAAGGGTGGAAGTGTCTGTCAGGACTTGGAGATATAAAACAATAACAATTAAAGTAGTCCATTTTGACTTTAATTGCGCCTGCTTGTCACCTGACTTACACTGGTTAGTCCTTCCCTCTACCCTGCACAGTAACCAAAGTTTTGCCTTGAAGCATGTGGTAGACAGCAAAGTTATGTATTAGACAGCTCCTAATCATTGACACCTTATCATGCCTACCAGCACAGACTGAAAGTGGAGGTAGAAATGTGTATAATTAATAAATAATTAGTCATTTATATGTAATCATTTGATTGTGTTGGTAGATATGCACTGGAGTACTATATTGTCTCACCTACAGAGTCTTGCAGCGACATGGAACTGAAATGTAGCTTTTTGTTTCAACTAACGTGAGTGGCAATGTATTCAAAACACATATTTGGTATTCAATAACAATAATTGCATAGCTATTGGCATTTGATGTGTAAACTGTATTTGTTGCCTGGAGTAAAAGCCTAGTGAAGGTGCCTTTCAGTTCTGTGCAGTGGATCTACTCTGTGCTATTAATCTGTGTGACAACATCATAGCAAGAGCATGCAGAAGACAAAAAACTGCTGGTCGTACAAGGCGTTAATTGTTCTTTTTAAGTAGAACTTCTCTCCCCCGTCAAATGAGAATATTTGGTATGAAAGAGATCTTCATTGTGATTGTTAACTAGTGATGTGAATATTAATCAATGAAATAAAATGAACAAAATTTGGTTTGTCTGTTTATTTACACTTTCCTGGGTGAGATAGGATAAACTTTATTGATCTCACAATGGAAAAATTACGAGACAAATAAAGTTAGAGATGAGAAGGTATCAAATTTTATCATGATTTTATTTTCCTTAACAGAAGCAATAATTATTTAAATAAGTCAAGTCTTGATCAACATTGAAATCAGTCAGTCCTATTCCCGGATTACACTAATAAACAAATAAGAGCGTTATACTAGGGCAGCCTGTCATGGGCAGTGGTTCGTCACCGCGCAACAGCCTGAAGCCAAGAAGGAACGTCGGATCGTCACCTAGCTAGCTATAGTTACTGCAGTTCCAGCACAAAGTTTACAGTAAAAAAGACAAAAAAAATATGATTTTAATTTACAATGGGCTGAAATCGGCTATAAACATATTTGTTCTTCCGGTGTGTTTACAATGAGTTATTTTAACAACTAGCTTTATTAACCGTTAGGTTAGCTACAGGTTCCGGTCGCGAGCGCAGGTTTGAGATGCAACACTTTAGCTAACCTTTAACTTTAGCCAGAACTGTTCTATAATTTGTTACTCGATTAACGCTGAGTGCATCAGTAACCAAGGACTTAACAGCTTATTAAAGTGTTTTATCTTTCCTTTAAATGTGTGTTAAAGACTCGTTTAACGCGGACGAGAAGCTCACGTTGCAATTTCCGTAAATACATACCCCCCATGGATGTATTATAATTATAATGGTACAATAGACTGTAAATATTGGTACCCATCTCCACATGGTGTCCTCCAGGT